CGGAATTTCTTTCTGATTCATATTACATATTAAGCAAAAAAATAAAAAATGATATACAAATATACAATGATATACAAATTTTTTAAATGTAATACTTCCAAATACCTGTGCAAGTCTTTTGGATATTTTTTAACCAATGCCTCATTTAAAGACAATGCATTAATCTTAACAACCTGCATTTATATTAAAGACACTGCTTTGAGGGTTTTAGTCCAGATTAACCAGAGCATTCTAACATATGCTTTGATCCAATTTTCTCTGTAACTCTAGCTTTCAACACCGTGCCGCAAAACTCACAGTTTACTAATCCTCCTGATTTGAGCTCTAAACATTAACTTATCAACTTCCCCACAAAATCATTCTGCCATCATTGCTGCATTGACCTGTTGTGTTCACCATGCAAGTTTAGCAGCACACAAAAGATATGTTGGCTAATTTTAATGTCAAATGACCAAACCGCTTCTTCCATGATCGCTTTGTGCCCCACATGGCTTATGGCAAACTGCAAACAGGACTCCTGATTGGTTCTTCTCAACAATGGCTTCCTTACTGGAAGTCTTCCATGAAGGTCAGGTTTGAAGAGTACATGACAGTTTGCCTTTTAACAGATCCTCTAACCTGGGGCTGGAAGAGCACAGCTCATTTACTCTGTTTCAGTTTCACCCCTGACTATTTAGGCAGGGGGTTATGTCTATGAAACTAGTCACAAATAAATTCAAGGCCCAGGACCTGATGTTTAACCTATTCCTGCTGCAAGGTGGGGGAACCTCAAAAACGGCTGAAATCAATTATTTGTAAAGAAAAAAAAAAACTCCTGTTGACTGTTTATGGTGAGCTAACATAGGATCAATGCTGCTCTGTAATAATGCTGCCATCACAGGGATGCCGAAACACCGAGCCCATCCCCTCAGAGCATAGGATGATTCTCAATGTTATGGTTCTTAAGGCGTGGTTTGATGTGTTTGTGCTGGCTCAATTACTGTATTAGTTATTTAGAATAAGTTAGTAACTAAGGTAACTTTTTGAAGGAAATAGTGCATAAAATTTCTCCACATTGAGATCAATAAAGTCAATCAATCAATCAGCTACTGGACTTCTTGTCTGAATTTGAGATTCGTTGCTCTGAGGTTATCTATCTCCCCCGTTTGCGGAGCTGCTTGGAGGTCAGGCTAATATACAGTAAACTAGAATTTGTTTTACTCTATCATAATGTTTATGCATTTCGAATTTTAAGTTTAGAAATGTTAACTAATACATATTTTCAATGATATTTAAATGTACCTACATTTTTACACAACCTTTAAATATATTCAATGTTATAATCAGATACCTGAGTGGCCAGTTTTTCAAATACTCCTACTGTTACTTGATTAAAAGCAATATATTGCCAGTTACAGATCAAATGAATGCAACTTTATATAAAGGTACTTTACTGATGTCTTCCAGCTCTTTAAAGAATGGTTCATCTAAATTAACTGCTATATTAAATGTGCATCGCAGTTTCTTTTGTTTCAGAGTAGAATTTCCCCCCGATTCATTGGATAATCTAACAGTAATATACATGATATTGATAACGATTTTCAAAAACTGTTGTCAATATTTTAATAGACAACTTTTTATCAACCTATTATTTCTAAGATTTATTCATTTAATGCAGGCAATGGTGTATGATAAATGTTTTTAGGTTCGTGCAAGCCTGGGTGCATTTTAAATTATCATTATGATTGTTCATCCAATATGCATGCATCACATTTGGGAAAGTTCTGCACCTTGCAACCACTAATTATGATGTACAAACATATTTCAGCTAATATGAGTTTTTAAATGTTTAAGGTCAAGTAAACATTTCACAGCAACATTATTCATTCACAGACGGTGAAGTTGCACACTAACATTAAGCAGATTGAACCAACATCATTCATTTTTAGTGGAAGTGATTTTGAGGCCAAAATCCAGCTTTAATCTAATGGAGAATTTGTGGAGGAAGCCAAATATTAGGTTGATTACAAGAGGCCATCAAAACTGCAAGACCTGAAGCTCATCAGTAAGATAAATCTACAAAATACAGATAAAAACAGGCAATATGATGGCCAGCAATTAGAAAAGTTTTGATAGCTGTAATGCTAATAACGATTTGTTCTTCTAATTATTAAGGATATAAATATTTTTTTAACCCAGCTTTTTTTGCTTTTGAGAAATTGTAATTTTTAATTCAATTTTCTATAGGAAAAAAAAATGAAATAAGTGTCAACTGTGGCTATATCAGTTCTTTGATTAATTTAAAGTAACTTTGAATTGATTATTTGACATGTTTATTAAGTGGGGAAAAAAACACATCATTTCTTAAATTACAGTAACACTTTATTTTCTTAAATAGCACATAATATTAGTACAGTCAGTTACAGATATAATTAGAGACAGAATCCATTCTGATCCATCTGACCCTGCTTTTCTGAAAGAAAGAGAGAAAAACCTTAGGTACCATCTGAGGCTATGTTTACACACACAAACAGAGAATACTGGCCATATTCTTGTACAGATCTTTGTCAAGTTTTGTCACTATGCAACTCAAATAATCTATCAGATTATCTGAGCTATGAGCCTTGTAGCTGTTCCCTCTCCTTTTTAACAATTCACAGAGGACATTAAGTTAAATGTGTAGTTGCTGCTTTGGTCCTTATGTTACTATACAAGAAGGGCTGGTGAGATGTTTACAGACATCATTTACCAACTGGAAATCATTTGCCTATAATGACACCTTTTAATAAAGCATTAGGCTGCATGAAAACAGCCTGGGTCCCGTTGCAAAACAGTTCACTCCTTTAAAGAAAATGAACTGGGATCCAGCCTTTTTCCTCCAGGGTTCCCTTTGCTCTAAATCATTCCATAAAAACCCACACAAAATAAGAAGAACCGGATACGGTTTTCCTGCACGTAAACATAGCCAGCACTGTCAGTTACAGTATATATACAATGTTGATTCAGGCAGTGCATAACCGAGATAGAAATGCCATATTTAACGTCACTTGTTTCACTTTTTTTGGACCTAAACGCTTAAATCGCACCAGTAACAGCATCTTAGTCAGGCCGAGACAAAATTTCCGATCAGATATCTCTCAGTAGTACCGCCATTACTGAAGTAATAACAGATTCATTGGCACATTAAACACAGTCATGAACAGAGAGCGAGGTAATGAATATTGATCATCTCTGACATTTGAGATTTTATGATAAAAATCCAAGTGACATTTGCGATAAAGCCATGTGAGAAAAAAAATTCAACCAAGGACTCCGAGGACAATAAATGTCTCATTTGGAGTAACAAAGAGGCAGTATGAAACAATGTATGAGTACCAATAAAATCTGACAAAAATATTAACGTACCGTATTCCATTTAAAAAAGAATTGTGTAAGATGTCGTAAAAATGAGACCTAGCTCTCTCTCTCTCTCTGGAGAAATATAACTTATTTACAAGGTAAGTAAAAAGTGCAAGGCTAAGCTGTCGTTGACATTCACACACTTAACATCCACATATGTACCAAAGGACATGCGTAGAGGCACATAAAAAAGATTGAAACAAAACAAAACGAAATACATCTAAAACCTGAACATTCCGACTCAGACTTGGCATTTGTGGATCAACTCTCGTCACCGTCACTGATTGAAAACATGCACGCAAAGCACTGACATCATGGGATGTGAGGCGAAAGCTGACGTTTCAGCCCTTAGATCAAAAAACGACAGAAATCATACTTGTTACGTTAAACGAAAAAGACTCCAGTCATCCATCGATGAACCTATACAGAGTACCGGCCTCATTTTTAAAAGTAGGTAACCTAATAAATATTTTGGCTTCTATAAATACAATATGTGGTTTTCAAATACATTTCTAAAATGTTCTAAATTATGCGTAACATTGTCATTGCTTGGATAAAATGAATGGATAGTTTTAATCTTTTAATAGAGGTTCTGTGAAGTTGTATATAGTTAGAGTTCCTATAACCTTCCTTAAATGTCAACTTCAACTTTTCGCTGCTTTTTTCCAGATCACTTCAAATATCTACGTGGAAAATCTAAAAAGGTTAAACCAAAATAACTCCTTATTATCTGAGAATGCAGATCTAGGTCTCCAAACTATGGGAAGCCCATGACCTTCATAGGATGTTATGGTAAAGTTGGTTATTGACCTGTTAAGGTTTATCATAACAGACAGACATGTTGTTACTGAATGCACTGATTATGTCAGACCTTAAATTTGAAATTCCTGTACATTTTACAACTTTGTAAAATGTTAATATGAAAACATCCCAAATAACCAATCGTTTCCATTTTTGGAAAAGAAAAAAAGACCAGACATGAAACGAAAAAGCATTAACATCTACTGAAATGTCCTTTCTATCTTAACATGTGCAATACAATAGAGAACAGCTAGCATCCTATATTGATTTGCATATTATGCATGCATGCAGGCTCTGCATGCTGACCCTATTTGTTTCTGCCTAATGGACAAACATTTACTCCCCTTGCATTTGAAAGCTTGATCTATATATAAAGCTATCTAGATGTCGAAAATTAAAATTGGTGGGAACATTTTGATTATGGAAAATTAATGAAGATATTAAGTAAAACAAAATCTGGTTTAATTATAATCATAGTCAGTAAAGCTTTCTAAAGGAAAAGCATACCAATCACTTTATCCTAAATACCCCAAATCTGCCTCTGATTGGTTGATCAGTCCCTCATGATGACCTCTAACCCAGAAGTGCACGCTGCTTCCTCTGAGCTCAGACTTAAGGCCAGATTTCATCAAGAACGCTTTATTAACCCTGAGAGGAATATTCTACCTTTTCAGATTTGTTTAGAAAATAATTTTTGTGTGCATTTGAATAAGCTTTCTCCAATAAATTATGTCTGTGTAGTTTTCTGTGAAACACAGTGAAGCTTCGTTTAGCTTAAACTTAAATAAAAATATAATAATAATAATAATAATAATAAAAAAATAATAATAAAAAGGTAAGTTTTTCAACATGTCTCATTGTGAGGCCACTTGTCTGGGGATTTCTTTTTTACAACCTTATGTACTTCTAGCATCCTTTATAAGAGATAATGAATTTATAGCCTTTTAGAACCTCAGATAAAAAAATTAAAGACTATCCATTTAAATCACAGATACACATGCTTCAATACTAAAGGGCTGGGCAAAACTCTGTAGGTAAAAAGATATTGCTTGGATGATTCAATTCTCTTTTATAAATTTGTAGTGAACGTATTGAATAACTTTAAATGCTACAATCTGATTAAGGCAGGTAGCTGATAGAGAATAAAGTTAAGAGGGCATTTTAAAAAGACTTAATACATCTACTGAGCTGTATAAAATAAAAGTTGTTGCATCTTTAAGTAGAGCAGTTAAATAAGAATTGGCATGGCTACTGACAAATTCAAAGTTTCCCTTTTCTTCTCTGTAAGTCACAAAATCACATCCTCAGTCACATTACTTCACTGTAGTTTGGCAGAAGAGATAAGCAAAAGTCACTTTCACAAACCAATATTTCCATTAGACGAAAACGTTAATTATTTTAAAACCATCACTGAAAAGTCAAATAAATTAATACCCTTTGCTTTTGGATAAACTGTCTTTACTCCTTCTTCTCATAGAGGGAGGCACGCACACGGTTACGCACGTAAAATGCGGTGAGAGCGCAGCAGCAGGTGGTAAAGATGAAAAGCGCCACTGCGTCATGGGCGAGGTCTCCATGGAGGCGCTCATAGAGAGGGCGGCGCTCTGTGAAGTCAGTTCGCAGGGCTTCAATCTGCGTCAGGGTGCACACCACCACCAGCACATGGAAGATCTGGTGGCCCTGCCCAAAGAAGTCACACTTCCCAGGGAGCAGACTCTCAGGGTGTGGACAGCAAAAGAAATAGGCGCTGATTAAGAAGAAGATCACATGGTAGACATGGTACAACACTATTGGGTCAGAGCAGCCCTCCCAGTAGCAGCTGTAGATACGGTGGACCACCGGGCTGATGTCTAAGCAGTAAGCCAAGGCAGAGGGCACCACTTGGAGGAGCTTGTGGGCAAATTTGGGCAGATCATGCCTTGCGTATTTGCCGTAGCAGCACCCGAAGCAAGTGAGCCAAGCCAAAAATGCAGCAGTGTGCAGAAAGAAACCCTGCACTGAACTGTGCCACTCCTTCTCTATGGCGTAGTAGTAGTGAGCCAGAGCACTGCCATATTGGTAGACAGACACCCCGACATAGTCGAGGAAGTAGAAGGTGTAGTATGAGAGCTCTGACTTAGCAGAGAGGAGGTGGGCAAGAGCACTGAAGGAGAGGTAGGTGAAGGCTGCCAGGAGGACAATGAAGAGGGGCTGGGCATGGGGATCACGCAGAAAATCCACCGTTTCTGAGATCGCCTGGCACTTCACGAGGATAATAAGGGCTGCCAGAAGGTGGGTCCACACATTGAGGGTCTCGTTGTGCCTCTGGAAGAGGGTGAGGAAGTAGTACCGCCAGCTTTGATCCGTCTGCCTGTAGCCGGTGAGGATGTGACGCTCGCGGAACACCCTTGGGACATCAGAAATCTTCACAGTGCAAGGCAGTGTTGGAAAGGCTGACTCAAGCAGCTGAGGGATCTGTCGGAGCTGCTGGGCGTTGATGAAAAGCCGGCCAATCTGCTCCATCACTACTGTGGCCATCGCAACCAGGAGACTAGAGGGGAAAGAAGAAATGAACAGTTGAATCTGACAGAGAAAAAACTTCTGTGTGTATTTGTGACTTCATATCTAGCATTATAAGAAAAACATTTACTTGGTGTTCCTAATGATACAATATTAAAACAGCTTAATATGTCCGGTCAAAGGGGAGTGTGTCTATCAAGGTGCAATCTGATTCCTCCTCTATTCCTGAGGCTCTTTGAGGTATTGGTCAGTTTGGATACAAAGTAGATTACTTTAAAGAATATCAAACATTTTTCTGTTTGTGTAGTAGGGTCATGCTACCTAATAGAAAAGAAAGGAATGATTTTCCTTGCTAAAAACTTTTAAACTGGTTAATTGTTAGCTACTGATGATGCTCAAATTAGCACATCCACACTAAACGACACTTAAATACTGAAATGTGTACTACCTAAACATGAACTAAAATATGTTAAATTTGATTATTTTAATTTCTGAGCTTTACGTTTATGTAAAACAGTTTATGAAATAAATTATAATATGTTGGTGTTTATCTATCGGACATTGCTGGTAAATTAGTTGCTTTCTGAGTTTTCTTTCTGAATGCAGTGCATTACTATCTTTCTTTTTTTCGTTACGAGAAAAAAATTAACCAATAAGAGGGAATGATCTGCTGTCTTCAGGCAAAGAACGTCCACTCAGATGGTATTCTACACCTGGGACTAAATAAGAACATGGAATATGATGTAAATTGTGATCAGACGTTCATGTCCTGATTTGTCTTAGTGAGTTTTCTGCTCATAGTAGAGGTGTACTAGCTGATAATGTGTTTTCGTTGGAAATTGCATTTGCAAGACTGAAAAGCCCATATAGGGTACAAGATCATCCAAAAATGATATATCTACCCATTGGTGTTTGCAATCACTAAAAGACACACATAATAAATGAAGTTCTTATTTTATTTATTAGCTGTGATCACCTGGAAAAGAGGAAGTCAGCTCATGAGCTCAGTTTCACTCACTAGGTTCTGCTGCTGGAGGAAATACTGTATCTGTGCTAAGAGTAACTAAAATTGCTGAAGCATAAGAAGTTAGGCAACTATAAAATAGGCTTGTTTTGGGGACATATGTGAATAATAATTGATACATCCAATTAGTCAGATTGGATGGTTTCAACTCAACATTTAATGATTGTTTTTAGATATTATCTATGCTGCTGACATATTAGGTAAGGCATATCTAGTTACCTGGGTTTTCCAATATAGACTCATTTACATAGAGATGCAAGATGTCACTGTTGAAGACTGAGCTTTAGGAAGTTCAGCGTGTTTATTTTACTATTTATAAAGGTGACCTTAGCTCCATTACTAATGGAAGTGTTTGCATAGGTAAAAGCTATCATTGTAAAGTTGTCAGTGGGACAGCAGCTGAATGGTCAGTTTACCACAGATCTGCTGCAAATTACCCAGAGTAAAGATAAGAAAGATGTTTTAGTTAGACCATAAAAGGTCTGCAGCTACACTTTTTCTGTGTGTCTCATTGTATTACCTTGTAGGATAAGGCCTAATGCGAGAGGCATGGTTTACCAGGGAAAGTATGATGTATTTGATAGAGATAGACAAATACATTGGCTGATATTATAATTTTTTTATCGCCATTGGCTGATATATGTGCATGCATCCACTGATTCATTTGTGTATTCAGCAGCCATGACTTGAGATCACGTGAAGTGCATTGCTCCTTTGTTCATTTGCTATCTACTGTCAATGTTTTGTTTGATTTGTTAATAAATGCTTTTTTGTTTAAATTTAGACAGGAGTAACATTTTTTACCACGGTGTCATTTGTATCATGCAAATAGAGAAAGAAAAAGAAACATCAGCTTTAAAAATGTGCTCCCACATATCGGGGATTGGTTAGACTAATGTTAAAATAGTTGCTTTCAAGATCGGCCCTAAAGAAAGCTTGTATCTATCGATCTCTTGTCTTGGCACATCTTCTCAACAAATTCATTCCATCCATTCATTTTCCATCACGCTTATCCCTGCTAGGGTTGTAAAGGGAGCTGGTTTCTATCTCCAGCTGTAAATGGTCGAGAGGCGGGGTACACCCTGGACAGGTCGCCAGTCTATCAGCAAATAAAATCAGAAATCTTCATTTTCAATATAAAGCCAGTCATAAAACAACTTCATTAAAAACGTCTGAGCTCTAACCTTTTGCCTTTATTTTAGTTATTTAAGAACATATGGTTATTTAAACCAGTTTAACCAATCACAGTTATTCCTCAGATGTAACCAGCTCCCTCATTTGTTAAACAGGTGTGTCAGCCTAACTATTGGGAGAGTTTAACTGCTTTCCAGTGTGCTCTGAAACCAGAAGGGTTAAAGAAAAAGCTAAATGGAGCAGGTAAAGCAAAAAGAAAGTGTCAAAAAAGATTTTAAAATGCAAGAAAATGGAAACAGAATAATAGAGCAATGACCGTTTAAAAAATGTGATCAGAAAAGGTATTTATAATCAGTTTTATGAACTTTGGTTATGAAAGTTCCCTTTATAAACAGAATTTTAAAATTCCTTTTCAAATTCAAGTATTTAATAAATACTATTTACGATTCCTTTTTATTAATTCAGTTTAAAATGTGACATTAGATAAGACGTTTCAAAATGGATTTCAAATTGCATATTTTAAAATTGCAAAAACGTAAAATTTAAAACTGGTTTTGTTTTTTAGTGACCCTCTTGGTCCTCCATAGTTCCTCCATGGTAAAGGTGTAGTCTGTTATTAACTGCCTTTTATCTTATGCAAAACCAGAAGAGGAATCTTAAGTTTATAACTGAACAAAGTTTAGTCAGCTAAATTCTGTTTTCTATGTAGATAAAGGGCTGATTAGCCATCAATTCCCATTTTGGCTAATTCAATAGGATTATTTAAACTTTTTTCCTACCACTTCGGTAACAGGAAGTAATGAGTTTGTTATAATTAACTATTACAGCTGAACAAACTGACATTGTTCTTATTAAAGTGGATTTCTCACACTGTGTCACTGTAAGGCTATCTAAACGATATTTATATATAAGAGGCTTTAGTTTGTCAGATTACAGATACTGTTTAAAACATTGAACATAATCTTTATTAAGCCCAAATTTCTGCATTAATATCTTTAAAGGTATCTTATAATATTCTAATCCTCTACGAAATTGATGTCAAATGATTTGCAACCATTTTCATAAGAAATCACACTCTTGCTAACATGCATTGATACATTTATAATTGACATATGCTACATAATAATTTACACGCCACGAAACATAACAAAAGTAGATTAAAAGATATCCTTGATCTATTACCTGAACCAGAAGCCCAAAAGTGGCATAAAAACTGCACTAAGTAAAGTGCAAACACATTTTCCCATCAAGCTGCAAGCACATCAGTCATTCTGTGCTGATTAACTGTAGCCCTGCTGCTGCTTGTTCCCCACTTCCCTTTGCATACAGGTGGCTTTTTGGCATGTTTAGATTTATTGAGTTGGATCATTGCCTTTCATGTTAATATTCCGAGGCCTGATGCAGTTGGTATCCCACCACTATGGATATACTCATGGGATTTGAGTGACTGTGTGTTATTTTGTTGATGAGGATGCCAAGATGGCAGCACCAATGAGCAGCACAAAAAGGATTAAAAAAAAACATTGTTTGTTTAAGGGTGTTTATATAATGAAGGAAAAAAGAACATTTCCAATTTTGTTTGACTTTAAAAGCAGTTTTTCATTTATCGTAAGGAGAAAATCAACATATTGAAAGAAAAAAGGGCAACTGAAAACATCAGACTGTGTGTGATTATTGTGTTTCATTAAGCAAATTGAGTTAATGAAAAATCATACAATATTCAATAATGTTCCAAATGTATTTATATGCATCTGGAAACCAAATAATAACACTGGCATAATCTTATTCTAAACTACTAATAATAATAAAAAAAATTATATTTTATTTGATTACTCCGAGGGAAAAAATTGCATTAAATGAACAAACTCTACTTACTGACACCCCAACCATTCCTATCACACTAATGTAACTGATGCAGTCCATGACTTTTGGTTTAATGGGGAAAGAAAAATGTGCTACAACAAAGGCCAAAAGTTGCTACTCAAAACATCAATAACAAGGGAAGCTGCTGATAAGACTAAAAAAGTAAATTCAATTATTTTATTAGGCAGGAAATTATTTTAACTTTGACAACTTGGGCTGAGGGACTTGATCAAATATCTAAATTGTGATTCTTTTCAACCAATACTGCTATTGTGATTATATTTCAATTTTACTTTGCACAAACGTGTTAAAGTTTAACCCCGGGATTTTTTAGGTAAGCCTATTGAGTGTTTAATCTTATCAATCACAATAGAGTGACTTGCCTAAAATTTCATATTTGTTCAGAACAAAAATAAAAAGGTGAGAAAAAAAACAACTGATAAACCATGCAGGATGAGGACCCATATTTATCTTAGAACCACATGCAATACAGAGGATTGGAAGGGGTGTAAAAAAAAAACCTTGGAAACTCAATAATTAATCAAGGAAGGTCTAATATCAAACAAAGTATGACGGGCAACTGTTAAGCATAGTGGAGGATAGGAAATGCTATTAGAACCCCTTTAGATTTAAAACATTTAAATAGCAAGACATACAAAATAAATGCTGTTGCTTTGCCTACAAGAATGAAGATGCATCTCAACAGGAAAACCATCCTGAGGAAATTATTGAATTGAAAGAAAAATAGTTAACCAGACACAGAAGCATCAATCTGAAATGGGCAGAAAACATGTGGGCTGAAATTCAGAAATAGCCCCATAGGACAACCCAGGACTCTAAACAATCCAGAGAGATTGTGCAAAGAAACAATAGACAAAGATCCCATTCTGTATGCTCAAACCATCTGCTGTTCAACTGGGAAAAGTGGGAACTAAAAGCTACTAAAAGCAGTCTTTAAGTTTGGTAACAGAAGGTGTGTGCAGCAGTTGCAGACTCACGTGATGTGAAAAAAGTTTGAAGCTTTGCACGTCCAAAACCCCACCTCATTGAAGTGTAAAAACGTTTTAATCGAAAAAGAACATTTTCGATCTAGAGAATTTATTTTCGTGAACTAAAATTTATGCAATTTTAATGGTTAACAGGAATGCAGCTAGTGATTTTGTTACCAAATATTTCAAAACAAGGTAATTTTTCTTCTACTAAATAGTAATACTTTCTAGAATCTAAAACTGATGGGAAGATGAGGCTGTACCAAGGCTTTTATACATGTTTATCTGTAGCCCTCATTAATATAGAGGGCATTTAAAAAAGCAGAGGAGAGCAGGGTTCTTGATTTCGGCTCTGAAAACCATTACAATTACTTTGCTATATTTATCACAACAGTAAATTTCTTAAGTCTGCTGTTTAACAAGATAATTATCTGCCTTTTTGTATCCTCTGGAGTGTCTCCTATCTTTTCATCCACGTTTCAATTCTAAAAACAGGTTTTGTGGAGTCTAATTATAATGAGTGAGGCACATTTTGTGAAAGTCTTGTAAAGCATGTTTTTTTGTTTTTTTGCTGATGTGCCCTTGTTCTGAATAGTATGTGCATGTTGGGATCATGAGTGTAAAATTCACAATGTTATATTTAGCTTTTATCCAACTTTGTTTTGTTGTTTTTTGTTTTTTTTGATTGATTGATTGATTGATATATATTTGTAAATACCTAGAGATTAAATTTTAATACCATTACAATAGGGCTGCAACTGACAATTATCTTGCAAATCAATTAAACCGTCGACAAATTTTTGATTAATCAATTCATAATCGCATAGCCAAGGGTTCACCAAAGAATATTTTTTACAAAATTAAACCAGGTGAAGCTAAAATTTTTCCACTTGAGGAATTCTGGATACAGCATATTGGAAGAAGAAAACGTTTTTTTTCTGCAAAATGTTTATTTATTACAGTCTAATGCTCTAAGTGGGTTGCTCTATCAGATAAAGGCATGATTAAGTCTCTTAACTTCAGTTAACGATTAATTGATTAGTAAATTGGTTGGCGATTATTTCAATAATCGATTAATCATGATTAATCCGATTAATTGTTTCAACCCTACATTACAGACAGGAAGTGCTTTGCACTGCAGTTATTATATGGTTCAACACATGTATGCTGTGATGGCTGAAGGGGCGGATGATTGTTTGTGGTCAGCAGTGGACACTAGCCATGCTAGTTAGAAAAGCAAGGAAGATGAGATAGTGGATGAAAGAAGCTTTAGATCCACAGAGGAGATTGAGGTTTTCCGCTTGAGAAAAAGCTCTGACAATAATCTCAAACTTGGGTTGTGTACTTTGGTGGATTTATAAAAACACAACAACCTTTTCCTTCATTTTAATTCCTTGTCTTTCTGGCTTCATCTCCAAGTTTCTGTTGGCCATGTTTGCTATTGTCACTTTGCACTTTTCTATGTGCAGAGATAAACTTGCTTCCAGTAAGTAACTGTTCCTTAACACAGTATATGAATGAGACATTTAAATAATAATGTTTTAAAAATGGAAAGATCTGCAATAGCCTGGCTGGGCTAAACATCTTAGGGTGTGATATGCAGAAAGGGGATGCTGGGACAATATGTAACTGAAGTTGTAGTTAAAGGTGTAGTGGAGGATGTTCTTTTTCCAGGTGGATCATCAAAATAAGTGGTCCACCTAGTTGTCAATCATTCTGGTGATATGTTTATGTAAGGCCGTCCTACGTGCTTATCCCCATTTTCACTTTCCGGTGATGGGACTGACATAGTGGAAAAATGGCAAAACTCTTTTGGAAAGGAAGCTTATATGAGTGATGCAAACCACAACTTTTAAACAGAGGGTGCACAAGGAAAAAATGTGCTTGCACATGCTCTCGCATGCGTTTAATAGGCGTCCCCTCTCAGGAGCAGGTACAGGGTTGTGCATGTGGATTGCATTTTAAAAATTTCGTGAAAATCCTTCATTATACCTTTAAGTTGTAGTTATGTAGTTAAAGTTAGCGAATATATACAAACATCACATAAACTGATCTGTTTTGTAGGAAAAGAATTTTGATCATCTTTTGCTTAAGGTTGGTATAGGCTCAGTAGTAACTGTAGTTCAATGAGGGTTAGGATCTGTCTTAAAGGAAAAGTTTTTCATTTATTGTTTTCTGTTAAAAGTTTGTAAGCAGTTCATATTTAAACAACAGTAACTGTTGACGTTTGTATTTTGTGTAAATATAAAGTACTCGTCCAAGAGGCTACTCTGACTCCTACCATGTTAAACAACCCTAATCTTCAAAGAATATTTGTATTTAAACCATCTGTGTGATTTCTTTTTTGATGTTTATTCACACAGAATCACTGAGAAAACGGAAAGAGAGTACACAACCAAGGATGTTTTTATATGAAACTAATACTGAAATGCTCTTTACATCCCTTGCTTTAGAACAAACAGTTACTCTTACAAGAAGTGCTTTACATGGTCTCCTTGTAGGGCATTTTAAACAGGAAGATCATTGGTGGAGCATTAGCTCAAACCTTCATTTCCTGTTTAAACACCCATCAGCTTCTGTCTTAACATCCTACTCAATGTAAATAGTTCAAAGGTTTCTAAATCATCATTTGTATAAAATGCTTAGTCATTTTTGTGAGCTGTTTTCAGACAGCTAAAAGTCCACGTGCTTACAACCAGGGGTGGAGCTAGATGGGGGGCCAGGCTGTGGCCACCCCTACCAATTATTTCCCTCTAATACAGATGGTAGCAGCAGTAATACTCTCAAGTGGAATATTTAAAACATTTAAATTCTTCATATATAAACAATTACTTGACATCAAAAAGACTGTGGTTAATTATGCACATCATTATACTAAAATGAAAGATATAAAGTATGGAATTCATGCTCTTTTCAGAAATAGATTTTGCATTATATATAAGTTACAGAGAAAATCGTCTCTCTGCCAGTCTTCTAGGAGTCTTAATTGAAATCATAGATAAATAACAATTTGAATAAAAACTTAATAAACTTTTAAATATAAATTTTATGCATAATGGTCATTATTAAAAGTGGGTATGTACTGACAATGGAAAAGATGTTCACCCCAGAAATCAAACCTGAAAGAATTTTTTCCACTATACCTTTTATCCAGACGAATGTTTAAATATATGCATCTATTTGTTAGCAAAGGCTGTAGGAAAGTATAGTTTGTCTTTATTTAGAAAATATTGATGTTGTGCTTGTTAATTTTCCTGTTGGAACAGTGTAGATTAACCATGAGGTTCTGGCGCCTATCTATTTTCGGCCCCCCCTCAGTATTCATTGGTTATTGCCCTTATAAAAAAATTTTGGATACGCCTCTGCTTACAACATCAGTTTGTTAACTCAAGCTCCTACTAATTTTGAATTTAAAATAAAGATATTTCAGAGATCCTATCTTGTAAATCAGATATTTACTGCTTTCATCAGAATTTCCCCTGAGGACTCTGGTCTACCCTTTAAAAAATGCCATCACGTTTTAAAACAGGGCTGAAGTTGTAAAATGCATTATGTTATCTGTGCATCCATGTCCAGTTCGCCTTTAATGAAGGTCTAGCAATTCGATTTTGAATCCATACATCCAACATGTCTGCTATTGATCCCATTTGTATGCTTCCCTTCCCTGCGCAGATCAGCCTCAGAGAGATGAACATGTGCAGAGGATGAGGAGGAGAGGCGTGACAGATGAATGGAGGATTACGTAACATAGCTCCATCACAGCTCCACGCCCTTCAGCGTCCAGAAAGCTCTCACATCCTTTAAAATATTAATAGATGAGGGAGAACAAACAACGTCGACTACAAAATGAGACGAATTTATGTGGGTTGAGCGAATTAAAACCGGGCCTAAATGGGCCTGTTGCTGCTGGGAGCTGATCTGCACCTGATCCGCGGTTTTTTAAATTGAAATAATCGGAAACTAAATTTCCAGTCTAATCTAAGATCAACGCTTGGCTTAGTGCTTTCTCTGATGATGCCTTTTCTACGTTTATTAACATCACGATAGTCGCTGAATAGCGTTAAAAAGCCGTCCGGGTTATGCCTTCCAGGCGCTTCTCTCTCGGTATGCTGTCTGATATTAAGCGGCGAGATACCATTGATGCTACAAACCATCAGGTCGCACAGAAGAAACGAGGAAAAAACTACCTTTCCGGGAGAGAATCAGTAGGAAGAGTCAGGTGTGTCCGTCGATGAAATAAGTAGAGCCGTGCAGAGCATGGATATCATTATTTGATGGGCCGGACTGGCAGAAGATAACCGTCACTAAGGCAGCGGCGGCCGCAGCTCGTCTGCTGGAGGAAACCAGCTCTGACGGAAAGCCTTTCCAACCAATCAGCGTGCACGTTGTTCCCCTCTGCTTCTATGTCAACCAATCACGGTTCACTTCTGCCCTAGTAGACTTCCACTGTCTTTCACTCATACACCCACTGCTACTCTGTCTCAATGCGCCTGGGTGCTGATATTACTGTATTGATCCTAATCAGTGATACTGTTTACTGCTTATTATTTAGTCCTCAGTATTCTAAACTTTATTACACAGGTCTTACAGTAAGATAAATATATAGGATCGTGTTTCGTAATGCCACTTTCACAAATATATGTAAATTCTGAGTTTTGTTTACTGGCATCACCTTACAGACTTTTATATAACCCTGAACTTTACACATGTCTTTGTTCCTTTTTCCACGTGTGGACATCTCACCTGCAGCCATGGTGATTGGTCTCCTGTACTGTTGCTTGGAAACCAACACCCACAACAACAAGGGTTAAATGGTCACTTTCATTCAGTATCTTTCAGCAAGTATTGTCCTTATTGCTTTCATCATCGTTTTTTATCTATCTATCCATCTATCTATCATCCATCTATGAATCACCTATCTATTTATCATCTATCTATTATCTATCTATCTATCTATCTATCTATCTATCTATCTATCTATCTATCTATCTATCTATCTATCTATCTATCATCTATCTATCTATCATATATTTATTTTCTGTCTGTCTGTCTGTCTGTCCACAGTTCACATGTTCTCCAATTTTCTTTGTTAAAAACAGTGTATGGCTTTCAACTAGTTAACAAAAATTAGCTATTTTGTGTGATTTGAATAGATATATTCTTAGTAAAGTACATTAAGGTTTATGGCTATAATATGACAAAATGTGAATACGTCCCTGGTGTAGGAAAAGGCTGTTTTTCCAAGTGTAGTGCTGCTTTAGCAAGCTTTTGCAACTTTGTTGGGCATTTTCAGATCCCAGTAAAAACATTCTTTAGTCACTAAAACAAGCAATGGTTGGTCGGCGTGCTGAAATCACTTGCCTGTGCTCTTCCTTGTTTTGTGTTGAGCTATAACGCTTCCTTTGTTTTTACCCCCTCTGACTGACAATACCCTATTGTTTGTGAAATTTAGAAATATTTCTACACAGTGTATATTCCCTAAACACATGGACTGACATGGATTGTAAGCATAGAAATAATTGGACCATGAGACATTCTGGCTTGATGAGTCCAACAATTTCTTACGTGACAGAGAAGCATGGCGTTAAGGTTTGTTAAGCATTACAGCAATACCAACCCAGTTTGCAAACTTTGTAATTACAGATGTGGAGGTTGCATGTTCTCCCTGTGTGGGTTCTCTCCAGGTACAGTAGAAGAAAATCCAAGCTTCCTTTTAATAAAATGACTTATGTTTCCCTTGGTTTTAAAGCCTCAAATACAAATACATTTTTGGCTGTTTAAAATTCCAACATATTTCCTACAGCAGATATTTAACAATATGTTGTTTTTTTATCATAATGTGACTTTATATTTGTGTCTCTAAATGACTTGTTTAGCTTAACTCTGGAGAGATCCCCGCAGATCCCTGTTCTAGAAGAAGCTGAAGGGTGCTGCTTGGGAGAGTCTGGGGTTTCCTCCTGGAGCTGTTGCCTCTGTCACCAGACCCCAGGTACGTGGGAAACGATAAATAGATTACTAAATGTGCCTGAATTAAAAATCTGAGTGCTACATTTGTTTAGTGTGAGGGTATGCAAATGTGATACATTTTTAAAGCCTTTTACACATTTTATCAGTGATAGCAACAAACAGCTAAGGTCATACACAGTAATGAACGTTTTATAAATCAAAACTCTGACAATAGGGGGAAAATAAAATTCTCAAATAGGTAAATTAAGAAAAACATAAAAAGCGTTTATAAAATTAATTAAGGCCACACAGACAACAGCTGGAATCTCATGGGACTGTTTCAACTCAGGGTACAGGTGTGTCTCTGACTGCAAGCCTGAGCTAGAATTTAACAGATATAAACACATAAAACCTCAAACATGGCAGATCAAGCTAATCAGGTTCTGCCTATGTGTTGTTTTTCCCAATGATGACCTAGTTACAAACAGTTATAAACTAATATTGTTCAGTGATTTTGGTTTAATTTTAGGCATCAGGTCAAAATGTCCATTAAGTTTTCTAGGTGAATCTGAGAAATAATTCAAAACTCATGGCTGCCAAATAAACCAACCCACTTGAATATTTTAACAGAGATGTTATAACTCTGCTTTTAAAACAACGTTATGTAAATATTCTCATAGGTCTGTCAATTTGGATTAAACGTTTTTCAATTCTATCTCATAGATTGTAGCAAATGTAAAACATTAGAATTATTGCTGTAAAAACATCAGTGGGATTAGCAGAGTAATGTTTTTTGGAGAATCTATTAACAAATTAAAGACTGAAAAAAAAATCTCCATACACTTTGTTGTGTTATCCATTATTACAAATTCCCCACAGAGCAAAGGCCTGGAAAGTCTTTAGGGTTAACACATGCTGAAATTATCCATGAGCAAACCATTCATTATTTAGAAGCTTTTGCTCATTTAAAAAGAAAAAAAAAAGGATTAATATATGATGGCCACACGGTGTCAGTATTGACAAAGTAAAGTTTTGAGCATTCCTGAAGACTAAGTAGCATTGGGCATCCTTTCGATAATGAACCCTTCTGATTCTGTCAAAAGAGAGGGCTCAATCTAAAGTTCTTCTGGATTAAATAGTCTGTTCCCTTTTATTTTTTTCTTTTAATCAAATTTACTATAAATGTATCACAGGGTAATTTGAAAACCAGTTTATAAATATCAAACCTATTAGGTTGAATAAAGGTATTGTCTTTTAATAGAAGTAATTTGTAAAAATGTAATTAAAACACACACATTCATCCAGCACCTGATGCTGCAGATATCTAAATATGTTACTGAGTTCACTGTTAGCTGCCTTGATGTTAGAAATTTCTTATTTTGCACCTTACTGGATTATTATCATTTTAAGGTACTATTTGCAGTTATTTTTGAAATTAGACAGACAGCAAATGTGCTTGGGGGGGAAGATGTGTCGCAAAGATCATTAGGCCAGGACTCGAACCTATGACAACCACCTCCAGGACCAAAGCCTCTATATATGGTTGTGTGACCATTACTGTTTTTTGTATCTTGAAACAACCTCCTCTGGCAGCCATTAAGTAGAATTTGTGATTAAGTATATATATATATATATATATTTATCTCATCAAACATTATGATTCATGTGAATAGCCAATGTTATCTAAACATTACAAAGATAACAAGACAGCTCCAGTTCTTTCAGAAAGTTTGTCAGGCAGAATTAGCTTCTAGCCTTGAAATCAGTAATAGAAAATAAACCCAAAACTGACAGGAGCAAGAACCTCTGGAATGTTAGTCCTGTTTTCAATTGATTTCCAACAGCCCTCCCCTAATGGAGACATTTCAACGTGCTGAAATTTAATGGGGGGGGGGGGGGGGGGGATAACACAAACAGAAGAGTCCAAACTTTTAGAAATGAATCTAAGTTTAATCATTGTATTAAACAGTCAGTTAAGATATACAGCATAGTCAACAATCTGGAAAAATCTGAAACGTTTTTTTTTTTTTTTCTTTTTGTATTGGTAAATATGACAACCAATTTATTACAAACCTTTATTTAAAAAAAACTCAGCTGCCAAACAGAACTCCGGTGGAAAAGAAACAACAGAGCAAATATAACACTAACCAGAACAGTCTACAGCATCATGACACCTAGCCTTACTATGATTTTAGAAGGTTTTCTGATAGATAGCTTACATCTTTGGACACATTAGAACCGTTACCAGGAGCACAAACAGGTTAGTTCTCAGTTCCTTTTATTGCCTCCTTGTTCTTCCTCACCTCCTGAAGCTTCTTATCCTAGTGAACATTTCAAAACAACAACATTAACATTAAATTTTTCATTTTTGGATAAATATACAAGAAAATATCTGGACAGAGATTGAGGAGCTTACCTTCTCCTTGAATTTCTCGTTGAGAGCTGCCATGCGAGCAGAGCGGTTCTCTTTGTTCGCCTCAATTTTCTGGTTGAGTTTCTCCTGTGTCTGCTTGCTGAAGTTGCAGCTTTCTTCGATGGCCTTCTGGATCACCTCCTTCTCATGCTCTCGTTTCTCAGCCAAATGTTTGAGAACTTCGGCCTCGTGGCTCTAATGGGAAGAGAGAAGAAGCCCTTTGTGTTTAGATAAGAAATTATGATGGCTAAAATATTTTCTTTACTATTAGCCATTTATGTTGTATTTATTTCAGATACCCTGCGTCTCAAGTCTGCAGCTTCCAGTTTCTTCTTAATTTCATCAAGAGAAGTTTCCCTTTTCTTGTTGGGAGACAATGGGAACTCCACCTTGGCATCAGGAGTGGAGGGGCTGAGGATGACCTCAAATGCCTGGCCTGACGCACGCTTGCTCAGCTCCTTTACTAGAATGTCTGTAAAACAGGAATCCCATTTACTGTTTTTTAATTCAGTGGTGATCTAATTATAGCACATTTGTTATTTAAGAATTATAATACAACGTGAACCCATTTACATTTCAAATAAAGTTTTACTTTATTTGTTTACCAACTGACAGATTATCAAAACTTTGTGCAGCCAAACTATATGAAATGAGAAAAGGCCTTCATTCCTAAATTCAGATTTGGCATAAAAACCTCAAAAACAATTTTTCAGAAATAGTTTTTTTTTATTTTATTTTTTTATGTTGGTGATCTGTAAATGCTGGTCATGATGCAACTTTTAGACTTACCATCGGTGGTATCCATTTCTGCAGAAAGATTGTCTTTTAATCGCCTGCGGAAAAGGAAGACAAAGCAACAGAAATTAGTACTCTCTTATCCACTTGAATGTAAGCACTAAAAAACTCTGCATTTTACTTAAAACAAGGCTTTATTTTAAGGAGACAGTAAAGTATGCACACCTTTCTAACTTTAGACCAATGAAAGTACGCCAGTAGAGGGAGCTAGAGTGCAACCCTATCAG